AAACTTTGACAAAGTGAGGAATAAGAAAATGAAAGGTAATGGAACAGTGAGGAGAGAGAGAGATGTTGGGACACTGGCATGGAAAGGGAGAGAGACCTGGGGACGCCCGAGTTGTGAGAAGGGACCTGTAGGGTAAGGTAAAAAGTATCAGGCTTTTCTGCCCTTCCGCCGTTAGGATAGATGACGGAACCCTGCGGTCCTGAGTGCATGCCTGATGGCGGGCACCTGGAGTAGGGTGTGGGCATAGGTAGATGGGATTCGACTGGGCTAAGACTAGACTTATAAGGGTGGTGTCACGGGGACGCCAGCAGAACCACGAGAGCAGAGAGCAGAGAAGCAGGAGAACCAGAGAAGGCCGGAGAGCCCAGAAAGCGTGAAGACTTGCTGGGGGCTGGGAGGCCTGCCAGCCCCCCAGCACCCCTTGCCAGCCGTGTACCTGGTAAATCCCAATAGAAGCCTGCAAAAGCCGACGAGGGCTCCAGGACTTCTGCTTTACTCCATCTGCTCGGGTCATGGAGATCCTGCTCCGTGTCCTCCTGCCCTTACAGGCCCAAAGGGCAGGAAGGACGTCACCTGAAGTCACCAACATTTGCCCCTCATGGAGCACTGAGAGGGGCTCCTGGAGCAGGCGTTCCCGGCCCTGGAAAGGCCTGGCCAGGGCCCAATGGGCAGGCATGCGGCAGAGGGAAAGGAAAGGTGTTGGTCTGGAAAGGGCCTTGAGGGCCCTGCCACACACCACACGCTCACACACAGAATTAAGCTAAAACTGAGCGCAGAGATGAAGAGAGACCCAGAGACCCAGAGAGAAAGGGAGACAGAAAGAGACCCAGTGACAGAGAAAGAGCCCTGGGTGAGGACCCAGGAGGCAGCTGGGGTCAGGCCTGGAGCTCATGAGGAGGGGCCCGGGAGATGGAGACGGGGCGGGGGTGCCACCATGGCCCACAGGGAGGACAACAGTGGCCTCGGGAAGGAGGGGTAGCAGCAGAACCCACAAATAACTCTCCAGCAGATGGGTGGATAGAATGGTGGACGGACAGACAGATTGCCATACGCTCATCCACAGAGCAAAAGCCAACACCCAAGAGAGCCCCCAGAGGTGGGTGTGGAGGGAGAAAATGAAAGACTTCGGAGAAAGCGGGGAGACAGACGCCAGCATCAAGATGGAGCGGGAGAGAGGGGGGCGGAGAGCCGGGGAGTGAGGGTCTGGCGCACGCATCGCGCTCGCGGGAGCTGATCCATGTGTGCTGACCCGAGAGCAAACACAAAGGAAATTACCCCCAGATTGGGAGCAGGGATTAGGCAGGATGGCGGAGACGACACACTGACAGGCAGCTCGTCATACACCAACTGTCACACACACACACACCTGTGAGTGCCACCCGCGGGCAGCCAGAGTAGATTCCAGAATCGCCTTAGAGACAGGGTGGCAACTGCGGAAGGAGGGAGAGTCTCTCTCTCTCTCTTACACACACACACACACATTCACACACACATTCACACTCACACACACACTCAAACCCAGCACACAAGTGAGAGTCCAGGGACAGATGCAAGGGACTCAGAAAGAATACAAAAGCCGAGAACCCTGCAGAGGAGCCATCGGGGAGCTGCTCTATCCCTGTTTGCCTCTCTGAGACACACACACACACACACACACTCTCTCTCTCTCTGCTGAGCAGGAGCTGCTGCTTCATGGCAAGTGTTCTAGGAAGAGCCAAGGGAGTAAAAGGAAATAAAACGCCTGTCGATAGCAGTGACCCCCAAAACAAGAGTAAGGGAGGCAGCAGCTGCCGACACTGGAAATGCAAAAGGCTTGGGAAGGGAGAAGGGACAGAAAAAGGGCCACAGACACCTGTACACCTTAGAGGCCCTGCACAAGGGGGTGGGGGTGAGTAAACAAATGGGGGAGAATGTTGTAGGAGACACACACACACACAGAGGCACACTTGACTGTACAGTCATGTCTTAATGGAAAAACTATGCCAATGCCTGAGCAGATCACACACAGAATTCAGCTGAAGCTGAGAGGCAGAGACCAAGAAAGATGAAGAGGGACACGGAGACACACCCAGAGACACAGCGAGAAAGACAAAGAAAGAACAAAGCAAAAAGAAAGACAGAGAAACAAAGAGCGGCAGGAAAACAGAGACAAGGGAGACAAGGGAAGCGGGTGTGAAGAGGTGACAACAGGACAAATGCAAAAGGAGCCAGAAGTCCAAAGCCTGCCAGGGGAGCGCCCGGGAGAGGGGTTTGGGAGCCCGAACTAAGAAGGGAGGAAGCGAAATACACGCACGGGTCACCCCGGGCTGCCACTCAAGACGTGCAAGTGAGCGAATGAAAGAGCTGCTGGCGGATGGGAGGGGCCCTCAGCCAGCCCAGCCTAGGTCCTGGCAACCGGGGGGGCGTCAGCAAGGACCTGTGCCACACACTACACACCCTTCACACACACACCACACACCTGCCATACAATGCCACATGCCACTCACACATCACGTGCACCACACACCAGACATGCCACACACATAACGTAATATCAGCATGACATATATGGCACATGCCCCCGCACCACACACCCATCATGCTACATGTACCCCACACGCCACATACTGCGTGCGCCACACACGCTGTACTAGACGCATGCCACACCAGTGCCACACGTACCCCCATTACACTGCAAGTGCCACATATCCACCGTTCGCACACATCACACACACCTTTGCATACATAAACAAGTGCAGGAGCCCAGAGAAAAGACAAAATTTAGATAAAGTCCCAAGAGGAAAGGAGATGGGAGATAAACACAGGCAATAAAGGCGCTTTCTGTGCGCGACTCTTGCTCTCTCCCAGTGTCTCTCTCTCTCTCTCTCTCTCTCACACACACACACACACACACACACACACACACACACACACACACCCAGAAAGGAATAGAAGGGGGCAGAGGAAGAGACCAGGCTGGCTGGCACCTATAATCTGGCTCCACCCACTCCCATCTCCAGGCCTGTGCCCAGCTGTGTCCTTCCTGGCCCTGCTCACCCACGACCCTGCTCACCCTCAGGCCTATCTCAGCTTCCCCTCCTGAGCCGCCCTCCCGGCCTTCCTGCATGCTCAGGTCCCTTTCCCCTCTCGGCCCGCTGGCCCCCGCTGTCCTGAGACAGCAAGTGCCTTCCCCAGGGCTGGTCCCCGGCACATTTCCTCACCACTGAACCCTGGTCCCCAACCAGGGCAGACCTGGGGGTGCTCGATGGGAAAGCGTTAAAGGAATGAAGGAATGACCAGGGAGCAGACGAGTGCCTACATGCATGCAGAATGTGAGCAAAAACATCTGAAAGGAGGGAATGCAGGGATCACAAAGTCTCCACTTCCCTGAAGTGGGCTGGAAACTGGACAGGACTGTGGAGGGGGAGCAGGTGGAAGGGCAGGAGGCGATCCCCGGAGTGGACAGCTCTGCCTCTCTGTCTCTCCTGCGCAGAGAGGAGCAGAAGCAAACTGAACAGAGGCCCAGAGTAAGGAAGCCAAAGCCTGAGGAGTCAGACGGGAGCGAGAGACAGAGCAAGCTTTCTGACTTCCCTGCCCTGACCCGACATCACCAGGCCGGCCAGACCAGGACACACCCCCAAGAACCTCATTCCTCACTCAAGCTCTTGTTCTAGTGGGCAAGCTTCACCAACCTCCAGGACCACAGAAAAGTAGCGAATAGAAAGAAACAGAAAAAAAATGTAACACCAGAGCCTGCCAATGACCAGAGGGAGTTGGAGAGGCACAGACAGAAAAGCACAGGTGGATAAAGGCAGACATACAGAGAGAAATGGAGAGGCAGAAGGGTGGAGCACAGGTGGGGGTGCTCTGAGCCTCAGGGTGCATTGCAGGGCTGGGGTGTGTCCTCGGCCTTCTTGCACATAGCCCAATGCCTCTGGGCACAGGAGGGCCCTGCAGCCCAGGAGTGGCTGGTGCGCACATGGAATCCACACAATATGGGTCCACTTGGACACACACTCCGCCCCATGCAAGCCCACAGGAACCCAGTTACACACATCAGTGTCAAGGAGTCGGTGGGATTCACATATAACCACTCGAATTTTTGTGCAGGCAAAACACACAAGCCCATGCACACTCAGCCAGAGAGCACAGGCCACACACCTCATACATACCCCTTTAATATCCAGGAACACATGTTGGTGCACACACGCTCCAAGCACCTAGGCGCTTACACACCACCTGATCTGTGTGATGGGTGCGAGTATATACACACGCAGTCACGGGCAGACTCCACATCTCCCACTCACACCACATGTCCATACACCAACACAGACACCCAGCAAGAGACAGGCCTCCACCCACATGAACACAAAGTCACATACTCGTGAGCAAACAGAAGACGCATGCCGCAAACACGTCCACGCTCCCAGCCACAGGAGCCCCAAGGAGTCTGCGGGTGCCCATACCGCCCTGGTCAATAAAGTATTTGGCTTGTGAAAATAATGTTTAGCACAGGAATGACCCAGTTTTGAATTTGTTTTTACAACCAGCAGTGACTCTCAGAAACGGTGATCAGACACAATTTTTCTCATGTTGCAGATGAAACTTTCCAGGCCGTATCCTCTGGAGGTAGGAGAGGAAGGAGAAAAGGTGGCATCTTTGGACCTTTCTCTAGGGTGCCCTGGACTTTCCAGTCCAGGCCTGGAAAGAAATGTACCCCACCAGCCACCCTACACAGGCCTGACCGTCAAGGACTGAACCCCAGGGTGCTGATCCCACTAACCACCACAAGCATCTGAGTCCTGAACTGTTCACACCTGGGAGTCCTAGGTTTCCCTTGGTGCATTTCAGACACAGGAAAGCCTTCTACCAAATGTGCTCACTCCCCAAACACAAGTGCAGAGGTGCACACACAGCTGCATTCCAAGTGGTGGCCAGATGGGATCTGGCTGGAGGCCTCCAGGCCATGCTTTCCAGACAAAGGTCTTTCTGACCAGTGTCTGTCCTCACATCCCACCCCTTCACGCTCCCACAATAAGCCACTGACCAAATTCTGAGGTCTGTTTGTGTTTAATCAGACAATATGCAAAGTATGTACAACCAATTCTGGATTCCCCCCACCCCCCTAAGCCTGGGCCATGGAATGCAGGACCACTAGGTCCTGCCCAGAGCCGGGGTTCCCCTAGGCCTCTGCATAGTCATCTGAAATCTACAAAACACAGTTTATTAAAAAAAAAAAGGGGGGGGACAGTATTAGGACACCTTATACAAAGGGCCTTGGGCAAGTGGAGGGGGATTTGGGAGTACAGTGGGGTAAGCAAGCCCAGACTTGACTGGGACAGACAGACTTGGGTAATAAACATGTGTAAAAGGAAAAGTTGAAATTTCATAGGCAGGCACCACTTGGCCTCCCTCCCTGCTGGCAGGGCCTGGCTCTAGAACCCCTGGCAGCAGGAATGTTATTGCTATGATAGGGGGCTGTGGGTGAAATGTACAACGTGTCTGGGAGGCAGAGTAGGGGGCATTTTTACATGTTAAATATGGACACACATGGAGACACAATCTCACACACATACACACACACACACAAACACAAAGGGGCCCTCGGCAAGATGCTCAGAAACTGTCAGTCTCCCCTTTACGATGGGCACACTGAGGCCCAGGGAGAAGCCACCACACACCCCAAAGTTGAACAGCAGAGCTAGGGTCAAAACAGCCTCCTGATGCCCCAAGCTGGGCTCACCAGGCGAAGCCAGGCCACAGGGTCGGCCCCAGGGAAGAGCAGCTGTGGAGACCATGGCCTCACTTGCAGCCAGACCAAGGGAGGCAGGGCCATGCGGTCAAACAGCGCCCTGGCACGCGTGTCCATGGCAGTGGACATCCTCGTCCTTTCTCCTCCCAACCTAGGCGCCCCTTTTCCTACTCTGGAGTTCAAGGGGTGCCCACTTGGGGAGGAGAACATTGAAATGGAACAGGACAAACTGCGGGAGGAAGACCTGGGGTTCCTTCCAGCTGCCAGGGTCAGGGCCCCCTAAAGACCTGGATCTTCTACTTCTGCTTGATTGCCTCCAGAGCCAAGGCGCTCACTCCTGTTCACGGATGACAATCTCCAAAGGTTGAAAACCACCCACATTCTGAATGAAGCCTGTCTCCGTACACCTGCACCCTTGCCCCTCATTCCTAGCCCAGCCCCACATCACCTTCCACTCTCTCCTGCCACAACAGCCCGGCCAAGTAGGCAGTGGCAATAGGACTCTGTCAGCTATCTCTAACCCGCCCTCAGGCCCCTTGTCTCTGGGCTGCCCAGTCCGTCCATGATGCCTCTGAAGGCAATCTTGTTGGTTCCTGAGGAAGACAGAGGGAGCACCGAGTTCCAATCCCACCTCAACCCTGAACTGTTCTGTGGCCTTGGGCAAGTCACATTCCCTCTCTGGGCTCGTTTCCCCATGACTAATATGGGAACAATAAATTGATGTCTAAAGGTCCCTCAAGTCTAAGAAGGGCAGTACTTGAGGGGGGTATCCACCCCAACCACCATCATCAACTTAGGCTAGGGCTCAGGCTGCCCAGCCTGGGAGCCGCAACAGAGGGGTCTGGACCCCGTGGCCTCCACCAACAGGTGTCTCAGAAATGGATGGCCAGGGGCAGAGTGGCAGGCAGGCCAAGAGCCAGAGGCCCAGCACTCCTCTTTGGAAAGGCTCTCTGGCCAGCTCTGCAGACAGACCTGGGGCAACGTGGAGTGGGAAGGAGCTGACGCGTGGAGTAGGCTGAGGCTGGGGAAGGTGCCCTCAGCTCCTGCCGTTCTTCCCAGTTCCTCCTGCCGGGAAGCACAAGCTCCAGGAGGGAATGCAGGGAGGAGGCTTGTGGCTGGAGCAGGAGCCGGGACGCAGTCACTGTGCTTGCCTTGGACCCCACCCTCATGGGCTGCCCCAGGCCCCAAGCCCTTCCATTGCCACAAAAGAGGGAGGGGCCTCGTCCCCCAGAGAGGATCAACGAGGGCAGGCAGAGAGAGGCAAGACCCCTATCGGGGGTCACCCAGCCCCAAATCCAAGCCAAGAAGCCAGTCTGGCCCCATCGCCTGCTCCCTATAGGTTCTCTCCGGGCTGGTACTGGGGTTCGGTAGACGTGAAGTAGTCCTCCAGGAAGGCCTGCAGGTACTCAAAGGTGGGCCTCTCCTCAGGCTCCTTCCGCCAGCACTGGCACATGAGGTCGTGCAAGGACTCGGGACACTCCGGCGGGCAGGGCATCCGGTAGCCCCGCTCCACCTGGTCCAGCACCTCACGATTCACCATCCCTGTGAGCGGAAGGAGGGGTGAGGAGATTAGCTCCAGGGAGGAAAGTGTGGTGGGGGAAGTTGATGGGGACAACACAGAGGGCATCCCGCCGAGGACATGGCGGGTGTGCCTGCAGATGAGCTCCCTCCCCCAGGCTGGGAGCCCTAACCAGAGCAGACTCTAAGGAGAGATGTTCAACCCCCTTGTTGTACAGATGGGGATACTGAGGCCTGGGAAGGGGTATGTCTTGCCCAAAGTCACCAAGACAGTGGGGTACAGGGATAAAAGATGGACTATAGGGAGCCCTCTTACCAGGGTAGGGCACCCGTCCCTTTGTGGTGAGCTCCGTCAGCAGGATCCCAAAGGACCACACGTCTGACTTGATGGTGAACCGGCCGTAGAGGGCAGCTTCTGGAGCTGTCCACTTGATGGGGAATTTGGCACCTACAGGAAAGAAAAGCGAAGGGATGCTCAGCAGAATGTCAGGGCCGCCAGGCGCCATTCTCAGGTCTAAGAAGGGCAGTACTTGAGGGGGGTACCCACCCCAACCACCATCATCAACTTATGCTTATAATACGTGTGACTCAGAAAAGAGGCCACACGGCACCCGCCGGCCCCTGCCCACCTTGCCGGGCTGTGTACTCGTTGTCTTCGATGAGCCGGGCCAGCCCAAAGTCAGCCACTTTGCACACCAGGTTCTCTCCAACCAGGATGTTGGCTGCACGGAGGTCCCGGTGCACGTAGTTCATTCGCTCCACATATGCCATGCCCGAGGCGATCTGTAGGCAGAGCCCAGACACCTGGCTCAAAGGCCACCCCACTTTCTCCCCAGGCCACTGGGCATGAGCCTAGGCATGTGTTTGTCCCCAGAGTGGAGAGCCAACCTAATACCCTGCGCTCCCCATTTCTTCAGGCAAGTGAAGTCAGCTTACAGTACGTACTGTTGGCACAGAAAGTAGGCTGAGCTGGAGGAGGGAGCAAGGGGCAAGGGAGAGGTACAAGGCCAAATACAGCCAGGGAAGTGGGGTAGCCCCCCAAAAAAGAGGCTCCAGATGGCCCATAGATACAGGTTAGTGTAAGGTCCTGCTGCTGCCCAAATCCCAAGTCTCAGTTTTCTCATCCATCAAATGGAATAACAGTCATTCCAGTCTCTTGCTTGTGATAAGAATTAAATTAAAAAATGGTTGTTGAGCACTGCCTACAGCAAGTAAGCACCAATGTGTGTTTGTTGAGTGACTGAATGACCTTTATAGAAAAGAAAACTGAGGCCTAAAGTCCCACAGCAAGTCAGTTACTTAAGTAAAGACTCTTTTCTCTGCCAAAACTACCACTTACAGTGCTTATAAAAGGTCCCAATAATACATATGTCAAAATCAGTGACTGTGGGGGCAATCAAGGCAGGCTTCCTGGAGGGGGCACTCAAAAGAGTCCAGAACTGGATGAGCCAAGTAGATCCTAGTGCTTGAGGGCCAAGGGTAAGGGAGGTGGGAGGGGCGACTCACCTGAGCAGCCATGTCCACCAGCTGAGGCAGCCGCAAGTACTTGCCCGTCTCCCCCTTGAGAAAATCCAGCAAACTCCCTGGGCAGAAAGAAAGCAGGTCTAACCTCAACCCTGTCTTCCTTGAGCCAGGGAACAGTGATGCCCAGTAGTTTGTGTCCACCTGGGCCAGCTGGCTTTGCTTTAACCAGCAGCACAGATTTTATGTAAACCCATCTCTGAATAAAGTCTCACTCAGCACTTTGCCACTCAAAAGGCAAGCAGAAAGACCTAATGTCCACCTCTGGGAGAATAAACCATGGTACACCCTTATAACGGGTTATCACTCAGTAATGAAAAGGAAAAATTAAAAAAAACAAGCTACTGACATATGCGATAAAGAAAAACCTCAGACAGCAAAGATTACATACATAAAGTTCTAGAATAAACAAAGCCATGATGACAGAAACACATCGGTGGTCACCTAAGTTTGGGGCTAGAGAATACTGTCTACTAAAGGAGCTTTCTGGAGTAATGGGGATATTTATAATTTGATTGTGGTAATGGAGTCACAGAGTAGCCATTTGTTAAACTCACTGAACTGGATATTTAAAAATGCATGTATTTTTTCATAGGTAATTTATACCTCCAAAATGTGGAATTTTAGAAATTAATTTAAAAACTAAGTAAGGTGGGGCCTCCCTGGTGGTGCAGCGGTTGAGCGCTGGGCTGCAAAGCTGCGCGAAGCCTCAGCAGCGCCAGTTCGATCCCCGGTTGCCCCCCGGCCACCGGAGGAGGGTCCCACATGGCGCGCAGACCTCTCCTGCCGCCCGCTGCTCCCCTGAGCGGTGTACTTTGGTCCTTCTGCCTGCTCTGCTCCCCACTCTGGCTCTGGTGGGTTCTCTCACCCTCCCGCGCTTCTGACTGTACCCAGTGCATGTATAAACAAAACAAACAAATAAATAAATCATAAATAAATAAAAAATACATGCCTCTTTAAAAAAAAAAAAAAAAAAAAACACTAAGTAAGGTCAAACCAGAAACTTGGCCCAGATATGGCTCAGCCTGGAGGGTTTGGGGGACTCTCTTTTAGCCCCAGAATAGTAACTAACTTTAGAAAACCAGCAAACTGGGGGAGATAAAATACACTGTGAGAAATCATTAAAATGAAACAAGACCCAGCTATTCCCTCCCTGGGTGTCTAGCCAAAGAATACAAAAACACTAATTTGAAGAAACAGATTCACCCCTAATTTAATAACGTAGCATTATTCCCAATAACTAACTATTCCCAATAACCCGTGCACTTAATGCCCGTGCACGGGTGAGTGGATAAAGAGGATAAAGATACGGTGTATGTAACACAATGGAATGCTATTCAGCCATTGGCAAAATATGGGTGGACTTGGAGGATACACTATACCAAGTGATATAAGTCAGGTGGAGAAAGACAAACACTCGTTTTATGTAGACGATGAATGAATGAACGAAACACAAAAACAAATTCTTAAACTATAAGAATAAAATAGTGGTTCGCAGAAGGAGGGGGTTAGAGCATTGGGTAACGGGTCAACTGTATGATGACAGATGGAAACTAGACTTTTGGTGGCAAGCATGGCATTGTATATAGAGATGCTGACATACGTCTGTAAACTTGAAACCTTCAAATGTTATAAACCAAGGTCACTTCAATGAAAAAGAATTTTTTTTTTAAAGGTAACCTTTGGCTAACTTTCCACTGACATGAGAAATTGATTCTAGTTCATTTCACCGTTAGAGATGAACATTCTAGTTCTGGGGCAAGAGAGGCATGTTCCACCTGCCGTGTGAGTACCCCTGATTTGCAGAGAGCCCATGGAGGGGCTCCACATCTCTGTGCTGCTCACTCAGGCCTCACCCTTGCTCATGTACTCCGTGACGATGTAGATGGGTTCCTCAGACACCACCGCATACAGCTGCACCAGCTTCTCGTGCCTCAGTTTCTTCATGACCTGGGCCTCCTGCAGGAAGGCCTCTGGAGACATCGTGCCTGGCTTCAGGGTTTTGATGGCCACCCTGGTGGTGCCGTTCCAGGTGCCTGTGTAGGGAGAAGGGACACAGGCTGCCTCAGTGGAGTCTCCCTTCCCACAGGGACCTAGATCTGCCCGGCTGGATACCAATTTCAGCTTTGGCCTTCCTGCCATGTGACAAGCCTGGTCTAGGTCCAGGACCATTCTGAACCTCAGCGTCCCCATCTATAAAACTGGCACAAAGATAGGATGCTCCTTATGGGGCTGTTACAGGGATTAAAGTACATGTTGAAGAAACTGTAGCTGTCGTTAGAACTTATTAGGAATATCCCCCAAGGCAGGGTGAGGTGGAACTGACCTCAGAACAAGTCCACCAGAATAAGAGGCTGTCAAGAGTCACACTCGTCAAAACTGAGGTGTCAAACTAAGTACGAAGGCATGGAGGACAGACTAGCCGCACTTGGATGCTCACCGCTGCCTCCTGCCAGTGAGACATGAGCGAGTCAGCTGCCTTTAAGAGTCTGGGTTTCCTCGTCTGGAAAATGGGGGTACTATAGCGTCTGCATGTGGGGCTGTCTGAGGACGAAGAGATTTCAGCCTCTGGGCCCTACCTGCTATACGGGCTCAGTAAACAACAGCTACAGCTGTCATTTAACCATGATCTGTTTTTTAAGTGGTCAGGCCTTGGAGAAAGCTGTGTTCTAGATCAGCGTATGTAATCTGAGTTCTTATATGTAATCTTGAGCTATGGGGCCCATTCCTTCCAGTCTCTGAGCTTCCATCTGAGTGCTGGGCCTGAGCCCCACCTCTCAGCCCCTGACATTCCAGGGATCCCTACCTGGCACTTCATGAGTCCCCCTGGGCCAACAGGCCCAGGGAGGAAGAGAGCCCTCTCCCAGGGACATGACTGCACACCCAGCCAGGAATGAATTTCGCAGCCACCAAAACAGCATTTCCCCAAGTGTTGCGCATTTTGTGCCTGTGCCTGGCAGCTGGGTCCTCGCTCCTTTCCCTAGCTCAGAGCCAACACCACCCCTCTCCTGACCTGGCCTGACCTCCAGCCTCCAGGCCTTTGTCCCTGAGTGCCTTCCACCCAGGAGCCCTCTCTGTTCTCCCCCATCATCTCTTCCTCTGAAGGGAGGAGAGTGAGGGCAGTGAATGCTGTGGTTCAGACAATCTTGACAACACAGTGACCCCCTGCTGAAGCCACAGACCCTGCGCCAGCCCAGCCCACCCAACCTCCAGGACGCTGCAGGTCAGCAGAGCTAGTTAGCAGATGGGCCTGGCTTTCATCGGGGCTGCATGGGGCTTGTGGTCAAGGGAAGCGTTGCCATTCCCCTAGTTAGACAGATCATTAACAGGCCCAGGACATGCCAGACCCTGCCCTTCCCAGAACCCCCTCCTGAAGCTGGAGCTTCTCTCAAATCCCATAGTCGATCCTATCACCTTCAGCCCCATTTGGGGACTTTCCCAGTTGGGAAGATGGTGCCTCATTGTGAAGCCACTTGGCCCAGATCACACACACAGGTCGTTGGGGAGTTGCATGCCCAGCCCGACAGCTCTTTGCAGAAAGGTGCCATGGTCTGGGAGAAGGGGAGATCCCAACTCAGTGCCATTGACCACTGAGGGGGCTCCGTATCTAAAACACAGCCCAGTGTCCAGGGAAAGCAAATGAGGCTCATGGAGGTGAAGGGAAGGGGCGCTGGGGGCCCTAAGTTGCCTCACAAGATGGCCATCTGCCTGGTTTGCGGGTGGGACACCAAAGTTCCCCTGACGGGCTCGTGGTCAATCTGAGGGGGCAGGGGCAAAGTCTTACCCATCCACACCTCTCCAAAGCAGCCCTGGCCCAGCTTGACCTCCAGCCGCAGCGACTCCCGGGGGATCTCCCAGGCATCCTTGGCCAGGCCCTGAGTCTGTGGCTTGGACGTGGGGCACACAGTGGTGAGGCGGTGGCACAGGCCGTCGGCATGCTCTGAAGAGACAGGGGTTGGAGTTTAGTCTGGACGTCCAGTCCCAGAGAGTGTAGACCCACATGGTTTACACACAGGATTTGGGGGACATGGGACCACCAGGCCAGGTATCTACACTCTCCCCCCACCCAGGCCCACACTGCCTCATGCCTCTATCCACTGAGGCATTCATTCATTCTTCCGACTGTAAGGTGGGTAAGGAGGGATCCAGGCAGGTGCCAGGCACCCAGCAGGGGACAAATCCAGTGGAACCCAACCTCAGGAAGCTTACAGTACAAAAGGGACCCCAACTCCCCTCACCATCTCCCAGGATCACACGAGTGACGGAAGAGAGCTATGTGCATAGCAGGTGAGCTGGACAGGAGGCTTCGCTGAGCAAGTACCTGGGCGTGGGTCTGCAGGAGGCAGCATAGCTCACTAGGGGACAGTGCTCCAGGCAGAGGGCATAGCCTGGACAAGCATCCTGAGAGAGGAACGAGCTACTGGGCTGGAGAAGCCGAAAGGAGGCTGGGGGTGGGGGGTGCTGGAAAGGGAGTGGGGGGGAGGAGGCCAGCAGAGTTTAGACCACCCAGATCAAGGACACCGCATGAGGGTCTTTATCCCGAGACTGCCAAGTAACCCCTGGAGGGTTTTGATCTGGGGAAACAGGGTTCAAAATGAACCCCTCAGTGATGGCCACAGGGATCGAGCACGGTGGCCGAGGACTGAGAAGGGGCGAGATCCTAGAGAAAGGCCCAGTGGACAGAGGAGGCGGCGTGGGATGGGGCGCTGGCGTTCAGGACAGGCCACACCTGCACACAGAGGCCACAGCCATCCGGGCCACGCAGGCATCACAGAGACCAGACAGGCAGGTGTGCATGACGGCCCAGCCACACTCCCCAGCCCCTCACCCTCGCCCCTCCCGCGCCCTCCTCCCTCTGCTGAGGCAGATGCAGCTGCCCCCTCCTCCTCTCCCAGTAGCCGGTTCAGACCAGTCCTAGGGCTGCAGAGATAAATGGCACCAGCCTAAGCCCCTCTCCTCCCCTCAAGCCTCCTGGCAGCCCCCTCCTCACCAGCCAGCTCACAGGAGAAAGGAAGGTAAACAGGGAGAGAGAGGGAGGGAAGCAGGGGGGAAAAGGCACTGGAGAAAAGAGGAGGAGGAGAGGAGGGGAGAGGGAAGTGGGAGAAAGGGGAAGGGAAGAGGGAAGGAAGCAGCAGAGTCTCCTCAGGACACCCGGGGCCCCTGCCCGCAGCAGCCTGCTCTCCGCTGGCCCCTGGCCGGGGCCGGGGCGCGCGCCAGGACTCACTGGAGTAGTAGGCCACCAGCTGCTGCAGACTGCTGAACTGGGTGCGGGAGGTGATGTAGAAGCCCCCGCTGTCGAGCTTGCGGATCTTGTAGTGCTTCACATTGAGACCCTTGGCGTTGTCGAAGTCGGACACTGAGAGGCAGTAGGCACCTACGGGCCAAGCCAGAGAGATGCTGCCGTCACTGTGCCGCACCACGCGCTGAGGGCCCTTCTCAGGGCCTCCCAACTCAGGAGGGAAGAAAGGACAGGGCTGCTGCCCCTGGTCCAAAGCAGAGCCAGGTCTGGTCCACTCTGTCTCTGGACCCTGCGCCAAGGCAGGGCTGGCAGCAGAAAAGCATCTGACCTTCTGCCCTGGCCAGACTTGCAAGGTCCAGGTGTACATCCCAACTGAGTGATCTGGAAAGTCGCTTGACCCCTCTGGGTCTCAGTTTCCTGCCTTGTATATGGAGAAACTCTCAGGGCTGCTGGGAAGATTCAGTGAGACCACAAATAAGAAGGCCTGTCACATAGTAGGTGCTCAGTAAATGTTTGCTGGGAGCCTGTGAATGGCCGAACTGCTGCCCCTCTCGAGGTCTGCCCAGCGGTAAACTGTCGATGCTCTGCCCTTTGGAAGACCACCAGGTATAGGATGTCCGGGGCTGCGACCACAGACTTGGGCAGGAGCCCACATGCTGGGTGTGGCCTGGAGGCTGCCAAGCCTAAAGTGGGCCCGCCGTTGCGGCCCCCTCCCTGCTTCCCTTGAGCCTAGAAAAACCTTGGCTAGAAGTTTCTTCCTGCCCAGGAGACCTGGCTAGGAGCCTCTGTGAACCCAAGAGATGCCTGGGATGGCATCAGGGAACAGGCTGAGTGCCAGAGGTAGGGGCAGAGGCCCCAGGGGCCTGAGAACATTCTCCACCTCCTTGTGGGGCAATTCCTTGTGGGGCACAGGCAGCATGCTAGAAGCCCATCCCTCCCTGGGCTGGTAAAGGTCTCCAGTGTAGTGAAGAGGACCTGAGGCCCAGAGAGGAGACCAGCTAGCCTGGCATCACCTAGCAGGTCAAGCACACAGCTTGGCCTGCCATTGTGGCCCCCTCCCTACTTCCCTTGAGCCTAGAAAAACTTTTTGTCCTGGCTAGGAGCTTCTGTGAGCCCAAGAGATGCCTGGGATGGCATCAGGACCAGGCAGACTCCAATCCATGCTGGATCTCTAAAGCCTGCACTGGGTCACCGTGACTGGCTACAGGTGGCCCAGGCCATGTGTCAGCAGAACCACGGGTCTGAGCCTGAAGCTAGACCCTAACCACTCATGCACACACACAGGCATGCCTGTGTCCCACAGGCACACGCTCACACAGGTACACATTCCCCAGGCCCCTGGGGAATGAAGACAAACCCACAATTCTCTCCCATGAAGTAACGCAGACAATCCCACCCACTCCCCCACCACAGGCACACACATGCCTGGACCCACACATGGTGTGCACACGCTGTGTATAAATGCACACATCTGACATAGATGCTCTGCTTTCCCATCTCCTGCTGAGCCCCAGGCCCACAGGAAGTGGCCCAGCTCCGTTGCCATGGTGATGGGGCCTGCAACCACTTTCAGAGGGCTGGAGAGAAGCAGTGGGGGAAGGGACAGCAGAGTAAGGGGCCAGAACTGATGGGAGAAGGGCAAAGCCAGGTCCCAGCACCCAGCCCATACTTGGAGGCCCCTGGAGAAGGGAAAGGAGAGGGTCCCACCGTTAAGCACCTGCCTGGGGAACAAACCCAACCCTCAGATTGCCTAGCAACCTGTGCCCACTCCCCATCTGAGGAAACTGAGGCCAGAGAGGTTATTTGTCATCTTTGGCTGCACCTCTAGCCACCCCAAATCATTCAGTATTCTGAACTGTACATTGATCCGACCATTTAATCTACCTGGCAAGCTCCTCCCACCTCACCCCATAAACCAAACACCTATTCGTCCTGCAACACCCAGCTCAAGCAACCCACAAAGTGCAGTTGCCACTGGCCAGCAGGAGCGCTTGTACCTTTCGTGGTCTCGCTTTCTCGAACTAGGAAGGTCCCTCTTGGATTCTCCGCATTGAGCAGTAACCGCTCTGACTCCCGTCTGGTAATCTTGCCAAAGTACCACCTGGGACAGGAGGGAAAAGGGAGTGTTGGGAGGCTCCACCTACCCATAGCCCCTCTCCCTGGGATGTGGTAGGCGCCCCTGGCAGCCAGCCCTCCCACTTCAACCCAGGAGATCAGAAGGAAACTGGAGTTGATACTCACTCCTCAGCCTGGATGGAGTCTGAAGGTGCCACATAGTTGCTGGGGATGTAACCCGTCTGTCCTGTGCTGAGCGAGTGGGCCAGCCACCAGTCTCCCTCTCTGAGCAGGGGGAGAGGGAGGGAGCAAAGGAGAAGGCAGCTATCAGTGCGGGGCACCCGGTGCCTGCTGTCTTCATAGGTGCTATGCTGCCCCCCCACCCCCAGGCCAAGGGAGTGCAGGGAGCAGGGACACCAGCTTGGGCTCTTGCAGCCTGCTAGGCCCAGCTGGCCCGAAACCATTCCTCTCCCTAGCCCAGACGCCTCTTAGCTAAAGCTTATTCAGACAGGTTTTGTCCAGGACTGTGGCAGGGCCCCAATTCACAGGGGCTCTGTGATGGGACATGGTCCGCTTCCTTCGGATGGACTAAGTCACCTCAAGATGCAGACAGTTGCCTTGGGAGGGAGCTTGTGTCTCTGGGGAGCAAGCAAGTTGTAGCAGGAGAGAAGATCCCTGCCTGAGATGAATGGCAAATCCACACCTTCAAAGCCTCCCCAAGCCCTGAGATTCGGAAGCGCAAACCTAGAAGCTGGTAAGAAGACCTATGTGGTGGAGGCGGGGTGGGGGGTGGGGGGGCTTGATGACAATCCAGACACCAACCCTGCAAACTAGAATGAGGCTTGCATTTGTCACAAATCACAGGTCACACCTAGAGGGCCCTCAGCTGAAAAATGCAGGTCTCCTGCGGCTCACCCATCTAGAGGGGAAACTGAGGCCAGAGGGGGCTGCGACTTGCCCAAAGTCACACAGTGAGTCATGTCAAAGGGGTCTGAGGTGAAGAGCCCCAATGCCCAGGGTACTTCTACACTAAGTGCCCCCTGAGGAGGAGGAGGAGGAGAGGGTCAGGGAGGAGGCGTCCCCCGCATGGTTTGGTCAGGTCCCCTGGGCCAGCGGGAGTGGGGAAGGGGTGGAAGTACCTTTGCAGCCATCTGAATGTGAACCAGGTCTGGCTGGAGCGGGGGTCCAGAGACACAGAGGAGGGAGGAGAAAGCGAGAGCCCAACAGGAAAGAAGAGGCAGAGATGGGGGTGGTGAGAGAGTGTGGCAGAAAGAGTGAGGGAGTGAACAGGAGAGCCAGGCGGTGCTGGGGACAGTGCTGGGGGATGGGGGACAAGGCGGGGCAGCCACAGAGCAACCAAAGGGGGCAGGGGGAGGGTCCGTGGGGGGTGAAGGGAGGCCAGTGTGAAGGGCTGCCTGGGAAATAGGGCCCAGTTCCCTCCCCTTCCCACTATGCAGATGGGAAGACTTAGGCCAGAGAAGCAAAGGCCTCTGCTCAAGGTCACACACCCAGGCTCCTGCCCCCAGATAAGAAGGAACCCTCCGGGCCTCCCTGGTAGCACAGCGGGTTGAGCGCAGTGCTGTGAAGCTGTCCGCAGCCTCTGCAGTGTGAGTTCAATTCCTGGCTGGCCAGGGAGATACCCACATGGCACGGCAGACCTCTCCTGTCTTGCCTGCTGCTCCCCTCAGCAGTGTATTTCAGTCAGTCTGCCTGTTCTGCTCCCCACTCTGTCTCTGGTAAATCCTCTCACCCTCCAGTGCCTCTGCCCTGTACCCCAGCTCTTGCATAAAAAAAAAAAATAAATCTTAAAAAAAAAAGAAGGAACCCCCCCCCCCCGCCCTACTACGTGCAGGTGTGCTAGCTTGCTGAGCTGCTTGATTCCAGGCTGCCTTTGGGCCTCACTGCAACCCCAAGAAGATGCACAGTGGGCAGGATGTGCCCCTCCCCATCTCCAGGACCCAGAGAGAGAAAGGCCCTTGCTCACAGTCACACAGCCTGGACTTGAACCTGAATCCCTGGCTCCCAGTCTCCTGAGCTGCCCCTGACCCATATTCTAGAAGGAGAAGTTGAGGCTGGAAGCAGGCAGGGCTGGGGTTGCTCTCTGAGGACCTGTTAGAATTCAGGCAAACATCCGAACTGGGGACTTAGCTGCTGGGCCAAGCTGGAGTGAAACAAAGGGGCTACATGGGCTGACTTGGCTGTCTGAGGCTACAAGCACACTTGAGCAGGGCACAAGCACACATGGGGGTTTCTGCGGGACAGGGAGGGCACAGAGTAGGACCCCGCTGGGTGCAACCCTGCTCAGTGCTCTAAGAGGAAAGAGGCTTGGATGCCCAGGACCTCTATCTACCTCCCAGGGGAGACTATATTGTCTGTCCCCTGTGGCCCTCAAGGTCACCCTGTAAGGAAGGCAGGCAGGCCTCAGCTCCAGAGATGTTGAGGGACTAGCCCAAGGACACACAGCTCTCAGGCTAGAAGAGCCCAGCACTTTCTTTGTAGAGTTGGAGAAACTGAGGAATAGAGCAGGGCAGGGACTTGCTCAAAGCTATAAATCAAGGAGTCAAGTCACAGGGAACAACTGACATTATTCAGTCCAAAGCCTTCATTTCATCAATGGGGAAAAGATTGCACAGAGAGGGGCAGTGATTCACCCAAGTCACACAGCAAGTCAATGCAGAGCGAGGGCCTGCACCCAGACACAGCAGGCTCTCCTAGGCCCATGCAGTCTCTCCAGGCAGCTTAGAGACTCAGAGACCCTTGAGGAATCTAGGTAGGATAAGAAACAGGAGGCAGCAGGGCTGGGGACAGGAGACTGGCCTTACCCGAACTGGGCAGAGTTCTGGGGCAGAGGCCACAAAACGAGACAGATTGACAAAGACAGTCTGCAAGCAGGGTGGCCTCTGGGGAGCACCCACCCACCCAAAGAGGGAGGCCAGAGAGAAGCATGTGCCCAGAGGCCAGCCAAGCAGGGCCCCAGCAACAAGGGTGGTTAACTCTGCTGACCTTACCCAGATTTGCCACAGCGTCCAGCTTCCAGCTTTAGCCCATATGTGAGTTTGGGAATTTCAGATTTCAGGGTCCAGTTTGGGGGTTTTATTTCACAAGGGCAGGGATGGAGGTACACCGCAATCTTAATAAAGGATACAAAGTCCCACTTCACCTGGCGGCCAGCCTGAGAGGCGCTTGGGTGCCAGGTGGACCCCACCGAGCACCACCCTGCTCACCACTCAGCCTGTGTGACCTTGGCCCTGCATGTCTCCTCATCTGCGGGATGGGGATGTTCATCCCTCCAAGGATGTAAAATACCAGCACAGGGTCTGGCACAAAGTAGGGGCTCACAATGCTGCTATTATCTTGGCTTGGCTAAAAAATTAAATTAAATTAAAATCTGTTCCTCTGCATGCCCCTTCCCACTCCAGGATGTTTTTGAAAACCAAAACAGCCCAGTCGCAGTCTCCTCTAAGGACGTGCTGTGTGACCCTGGGCAAGCACCCTGTTCTCTCCAGGCCTTTGTTTCCTCATATGCACAAAGGAGATGTATTCACAGAATCTTCTTTGTAGGTAGTGTGTGAATCAGGCAGCATCCAGCCAGCTTTCAGGTAAGAGAATTACTGTGATTATCACTTGGGTTGCTGAGACTGGCCAGGGAAGCACTTTGGGGTTGCAGGCAAATGGGGCAAATGGGCACAGCTCAGACAGACAGGTTTACAAGCCCTAAGGCCTGGACACATGGTCAGTGCAGAGAGAGTCGGCACAATGAGGCCGGGGCAGGTTGTGTGAGGAAGACAGGAAGGTGTCCTGTGTCCTGTGGTGGGAGTAGAACTGGAGAGCCCAGAGCAAGGGGTGCAGAAATGCTCTTGCTTGGCAGTGCCTGCTGGAGAGCTCCCCACAAAGCTGCTGGAATCTGGATGGGAGGAAGCAGCAGCTCAGGGAGCAACCCTCAAGCAGACGCAGAGGAGTCCCGACTCAGCCACCAAGATGGGGGGCTCAGGGAACCAGACCTCAGACCCCAATGGACTTCCTCAGACCGCGGGCCACATAACATCCAGGACCAGAGGACCTGTGCCCTGAGGCATGATTGGGGGAGCAAGGTGTCAGGCCTGCAATTGGGAAGACCCCAACCCAGCCCACCCTGGCCAAATCCCTACACATGGCCTCCTCCTTAAGTTCTCCACCTCCCCTGACACCCAGTTAGCCACAGGGTAGGCCCCAAGTCACACAGGGTAGGGGGCCATGGCGGGGATGGAGGACAGAACAATAATGAACCATAAGACAGTAACAGTAGAAGGACATGCAGATTACTCCCTGGGGAAATTTGTGACCTGAGCATCTCAAATTTGGTTGACTCATTTTCTACTAAGCTCCCTAGTTCCCACTACCCCTCCTCTTCCTCTAATCCCCCCCCCCCCCACAATTCTCCCACCCCACCCCCGACCTCAGGCAGCAACCTCAGGCGACAGGGCAGCATTGTGAAGTCAGGAAGGGCTCCAACCCACCCCCACCCTCCAATCAGAGAGCCTCACTGTCACCCTCCAGCTTCCCCTAGCCCAGCCTCCATCTCTTCCAGCCCTCCTGGCAGCCCCAGGCCTGGCCAAACAGGCCCCAGTTCATCCTGGAAGGCAGGAGGAAGGAAGGGAAGAGATTGGACAAAAGGAAGAAGTGAGGCTCCAGTTTTCAGAGCCTTTCCTACCACCACACCTTTGCTCAGGCTGTGACTCCAACCTTTCCCCATCATTGCTGTTGAGATTCCCCCAACCAAAGCTCAAAGCCACCAACCTGCCGCACCCTCCCCTGCATGGGCTGCTCCCTCCTCCTGGCTCCTCTGCACCTCCACGGAGCCCCTCCTACAGGGCCCTGAGTCCCAGAGGGCCTGCCTACCTCTCCCAGGTCTGCTACCACTAACTGTGTGACCTTGAGCAAATTATTTCACTCCTCTCAGCCTTGGTTTCCTCATTTGTAAAATGGAGCAAGGAAGAATTTCCAGTTCCCAGGACTGTGGTGAAACATAAATTAAACAGTACAATTTAAAGTGCTCACTCAGCACAAGGGCGCCCAACCCATACAGTGCACAATAAATGTGGCTATTCCATTCCCGTTCCTTCCTCTTGTTCCTCCACACCAGCAGGGGACTCACTAGGGTGTTCAGCAACAGGTGATATGGGGACCTGGGAACGTGGCCTATCTGAGAGCAGCCCTCAAGGAGCTCCCTGTTTGGGGGAGGCAGACACAAACAGCTGGAACCACAGAGAACTTTGGGAGCACTAGGATTCAGACATGTCAGATGCAGCTGGCTGAAAGCTGGGGAGGCCTCCTCCCAGAGGGAGAGCAGCCAGAGGAAGGGAGAGAGCGGCTGTCCAAGTTCCCATCCTGGCTTTGCTGTTTGGTGGCTGTGTGACCTCGGGCAAGGGCCTTCACATCTCTGAGCCTCAGTTTCCTCATTTTCAGAATGGAGACAGCCCTTCCCCTATCACTATAGCCCTGGAAGGTCTGCCTCCAGGAGCAAAGACAAGGACACTGGCACAGCACTTAGGACCTCTTTTCTCTTTGGTCTCATAGAGAAGGCTGTCCTGAGCTGGATCTTGAGGGATGAATAGGAGTTTGCCAGGCACAGACGGGAGACAGGGGACTTCAGGCAGAGGGAGCAGCATGCTCAGGAGCGGGGACACATGAACATGCTCAGAGAGGGTGGAAATGTCCAACCTCCTTAGCCAGGCCTTTGAGGAAGCTCAGGGATCAATTCCACCCTACGTTCTAGAACCCTTTCCAGAGCCCTGAAGACATCCAGCCCCCTCCTAACCATACCCTCCCTCAAACTGCCCCTCTACAAAGGGTTGCCTTCCACCACGTCCACTTGTTGACTTCACTGTTCTTCCTTCAAGGACCTGCTTGAACTTCCCTGTCCCTGCAGTCACCACCAGAGGGGGCCACACAGCCAAATGGCAGAGCTGGCCCTGACCCCAACCTCTTGCCAGCCTGTTGGCCTGAGCTAGGCCTGGCTCCCAGCCACACGCTGGCTCCCAGAGGACATGGACGAGGACTCTACCAGGCCTCATGGGGCCCAGCAACAGACCGGCATGCAGCTGGCACTCAGTGTGGGCCGATGGGTCAGTAGGGAAGGGGGGAATTCACAGAAAGGTGGATGAGGACGACGTGTGATGGGGGGTGACGGGTGATGGGAAGACCCTCCCAGTCTCAGTCTGGGGTCACAGTCAAACTGTTTGGGAGTGGGAGGACATAAGCCGGGGAAGCTGGTGGGGCTGCAGCCAAGGGAGCCAGAGACCACAGGCAGGGACACAGCTGGAAGCACATGCAGCCCACAGCCCAGACCCACCCACCCAGCACACCCACCCAGCCCAGCGCCCATAAAGTGTGTACACACCTGACATCCACCTTCCTCCTAATGGCCAGCGAGAGAAGCAGAGAGAGGAAGAAGCTGAGAGAGAGCTAAAGGGAGCAAGCATGGGCCAGGGAGAGGGAGAAGGGTCCCCACAGTTGGGGGGGAGGGTTGGGGAGGGGAGCACACTGCCAAGGTCAGGAATCCAGCAGGCTGTGCCCTGCCCTCTGTGGGGCAGGAATGAGGGCCACCCACTTTCACTGGGAAGCCTCCCACAGCCCCCACCTACCTCCGGGTGTATAGCCCCAAACCTGTACCCCCAGCCACAATAGACATAGCACCAGTGCAATCTTGGCAGGGAAAGGAGTAGAGAAGAAAGCAGAGGAGGGGAAGGACCCCTACCCCATGGCTAGAGCCCCACCCACCCCTCACTGGCTCATTCCCTCCAGTTCCCTTCCCTCCCATAGGTTAGCTTGGCTCACCCCAACACCGTGTATATAAATGTCCTCCACACCAAGTCCCCAAGATGGCTCCCCCAACACTCAATGTGGAGTCTGCCCCTACACTTGGAGCTCTGCCCTAACCAGCTGCCCCAGGCCCTCCAGCCAAGGTCACTAATGAGGGCACCTCTGTGGGTACAATCTCTGGCTCCAGGCTCTGCTTTTTTGCCTGGGCCCAGTCCTGCCCTGACCATATGCTCCTTGTGGGATCTGGGGTATGGTGCTCTGTTGACCAGTTACTGAACCCTAACCCCTGTCACAGGAGCCCTTCCGGAGTCCAGACACCACTCCCAGACCGCATCACTCCCATGAGCCCAGGCCAGTTCCCTGCCCTCAGTCTGCCGGACACTCAGCTTAGCCTGCTGCCCATCTCTGGTTGGGAGGCTCAGAAGTGGCTCTGACCCAAGCCCAGGCTCAGGGGCCAAGGTGCCAAGGGACAATGGGGAGGAGGTGCGGGGGCACTCACGTGTTGTTGACAATCTGGAGCCGCTCCCCTTTCTTGAAGGACAGGTCAGTCTCTGTCCTCGACTCATAGTCATAGAGGGCCACAAAGGTGGTCACTCCACCTGCAGAGAGAGATGGGGCCATCAGAACAGCAGGAGCCAGGGCAGTCAGGGAGAGGGTTACCAGGCCGTCCCTGCCCCAAGAGCAGCTCACAAACTCCCGGTTTCACTTGGGTGTCTATGTCTGAGGTGTCCGCGAGTGTCCCTGTGCCCGTGTGTCCTCACTGCCTGCCCATCATCCATCATTTGAGAGCCCGTGTGTATTGGGTGATAGTGTTTCTAGCCGCGCATGTGTCCGTGTCCTGTATTGTTTTTGCAGGGTTCTGGCTGCATGTGTGTGGCTTCATCTGGGAGCATGAGTTGTCTGTGTACATCGGCACTGGGGGCATGCCTGTGCCTTGGGAGTGCACGTCCATGTGTCCCGGGGGTGGAGTATGTCTCTTAGTGTGTGGTGTGTGTGTGTCTGTGACAGCATCTCCAGTCCAGCATGTGTATGTGTCTTAGGTGGGCGAATCTGAGTTGCTGACTGCGTGTATGACTCTGTAGGAATGTGCCTGCCTGCTGTCTTATCTCAGTCTCCAGGACCAAATCTGCAGCTCTCGAAGCATTCCATGCCCGTGGGTGCCATGCCCCTAAAGTGCCAGCAGAGGGCGCAGGGGCACATCTCCTCATGGGCCTGGCTCTGAAGATCGCTCCCTTCTCCCTCCTAATCAGCCTCCTACCACCGGCCAGCAGCCACCTGTCCTGACCCATTTCTAAGCTGACCAGAGCAAAGAACAAAACCTGCACCATGAGGCATGAGTTTCAGACCTGATCTGAGACCCTCAGACCCTGACTTAAAGGTCCCCTCTCTCTCGGCCTCATTTCCACATATCTCTAGACCCTTTTATACACTGTGTCTGATTAGGCCCAAAAGGCAATGGAGTCTGACCCACGATTCCAGTTTATAACCTTCCCCACCCACAGCCTCCAGGAAATCCTCAATAAGTAACCCAGAGAATTCTTCCCCTTTAGCGAAAGAAACAGCAACCCAGAGAGGGGGCATCTCTGTCCCAGAGTGCACAGCCTGGCAGAGCAGCCTGTGTCTGGCCAGAAGGGCAATAGTGTCCCACACCCACATTCCCAGGCCCACTGACCAGCCAGAGGTCCTGTCCTCTGTGGGGAGGTGACTGTGTCCGAGGAGTTGAAGCCTCCGAAGAGCTTGGGCTCAGCAGCCGCAGGGGAGAAGGCTGTGCTGGGGCCGCGGTGGCCATCGGCAGAGGCCGGCTTGCTGGGGGTCTGTGAGGTGGGAAAGGCACCCCCGCCACCTCCATGGGCATTCTCGGCAGGCTCCAGGCTGCGGCGCCGCTGGCTGGCATCCTTGGGCTTGCTCTTGTTGCTGCCCATGGTCCTGCTGGAGATGAGAGAGGATCCAGGATGAAGACTCGTGTCAGGAAGGCCTGCCCGGGTCCCTTAAGCAGCTGCCCCCACCCACCCATTCCACAGATGGGGAAACAGAACCAAAGAAGGGTACTAGTCTCCTTGGGTGAGTTAGCCTCTTGAAGCCTCAGTGAGGCTTCAGTGAGGCTTCATGTGTGAAATGGGAGTAATGATGGCACCGATAAAGGGTTTCCTTGGTACAAGACCAACCACAGAAGAAACACCTCATAATCAGAAGCCCTCATTTCTCCCCCTGAGTCACTGTTTCTGACCCTGGTCAAAAACAGTATGTGAGTCATGGCCCTGGCATGTGGCACATAGGAGAGGGCTTATGGAAGGTTTGTTGAGTGAATAATACAAGACTGAATGAAATTATGTAACACCAGGAAATGACTAAAAGTTACAACAGAGGTGGCTTAAAAAGGGAGACGGCTGGGAGTTCATGCCAGCAATAGCCTTTGCACATGCTGTTCCCTGTATCTGGAAGGTTCTGCCCTGATCACTTCACCAGGGTAACCCACACAACCTTCAGTTCTCAGTTCAAAAGCCACCTCCTCCAGGAGCATTCCAAATCCTCTCTCACTGGTTTAAGTTCCCCTGATTTTTGTGCCTCTCCTTAATAATAGGTTTTGATTGTCCTTAATCCAGTTTTGATTTTTTTAATTTCATGAGATCATATGATTGTCATCAGTCTTTGTCTTGTTCACTGCTCTCCTCCCACAGTCTAGCACAGGTCATGGTGCACAGTAGCTGCTCAATTAACAGCTGAATGAATGAGTGAATGTGTGACTCTTCAAGAGTCAAGAGACTTCTAAGCCAGAATGTGGGAGGTGTAGAAAGTGGGAAACACAGAGAAGACCAAGTCGAAACTCTCTAATGAGGCTTTGCCCCTCTTTTGACATCCTTTTCCCCATCCTCGGGTCCTGGCTGGCCCCAGCTCCACCAACTCTGTCCAGGGTCTCCCCAGCCATCATGGCCACCCCTCATGTGTCAGCATCTCACCTGATGGAAGGCAGGTGCTGTCCCAGAGCACCTGGGAAGCAGCCTGGAGTCTCAGCACAAACACCAGTGCAGTCAGGGGGTTTGGACTAGAGGCCCTGCTCCACCTCACCCCTCTGTGTGACGCCAGGCAAGTCACTTCCTCTCTCTGGGCCTCAGCATCTTCATCTGCAAAGCAGGGATAAAGCAGACTTCTCAGGCTGTTGTGAAAACATGATTAAAGAGAGAACCCACAACAGCTCAGCCTCTTGCTCTGGCTCCGGCAGGCCAAATGCTAAGATCTTCCCAGACCTGAACTATCCTTCAGCCCTCCCAAAGTCCAAGTGAGGCCAGCTAAGGGTGGGCTCTGAAATCAGACTCCCCAAATTCAGATCCTGGTTTGGCTCCCCAATCAACTCTGTGACCTCAGGCAGGTGACTTCTCTGCATTTTCTTTGGGATAATGGAATGCGACTGGGAGCAGCAGGTTACTCTGTCACGTCAGCTGTCAGCTATCGCTGATTCTGTGTGATGCGGTACAAACCGGTAAGGCTAGTTCCAGTTACTCTCCAGGAGATGCTGAGGCCCTCGAATCAATCCAGAATTTCCTATGGAACCTGAGGATGGGGGAAAATCCCCTTGACTGCTTGGGACCTAGGGTAAGACTGCCTGCCCTGAGCATGAAGTCTACTCTGCAACTCCCCTCCCTGTGTGAACCTCAGCCAGTACCTGCACCCTCTGGGCCTCAGGATGCCCAGCTGCAAATACAGGGATGGCCTGTGTGCTCTTGGACCTTCCAGCTCAGAGAATGTGGGATTGTGAGGCCCTGGGGAGATCTGCTCAATGGCCAAGGGATCGCCAGGGCCTCCTGCGGGAGAGGGCAACAGACCTAGGGACAGAAATGCCAATTTCTATGGCAACCGATCCACTGAGGTCACAGTGCCATCTCCACTCATATAGTGGGTGTCCCAACAGACCTGCTGACCTGCTTCCCCACAGCCCCAAGCTTGATGGTAGCTTAGGCCCAGCCACTGCACCCCACAACTCCCCCTTGATCCCTGATACTGCATCACAGCACTGATTGTGCAGCAGGCACTCGCTAGTCGTTTCATGGGGACACAGACATGAACTGGCCAGGTGCCGCCTCAGAGGGGGCGTGCTCTAGCAGGGCACTTATTTGAACTTTGAGAGGAAATAAAAAATTATAAAAATATATTTACATTTTTAAATGAACAACTTTCTAAAAATGAACTAAATGTTGACGAGTGAGACCCCAATCACTAGAGGTAATCAAGAACAGAAGAAAAGGTACTTGGCTAATGTGCCATGAAGGACCTTGAAGGTCCTTCCAGCACCAAGAAGATGCACATGGCCTCTTGGGAGGGAGGAAGCAAACATAGGTCCTGAGCCTAAGCTCTTGCATTAACCAAGAAAAAGCATAAAAGAGCTTCAGGATTAACATGGCATGGGCTTCCAAGTGTTGGCTTGGGAGGGACTTTTTTTCTGTTTTAGTTTGTTTTGGTCTCTATGGTTGATTCTGATTAAACAAGTAACACGTGTTTGTAGAGAGGCGGGCGAGTCAAGGTAAACAGCCAGAGTGCAGAAGCAGACAACCTGAGTTTGAATTCTAGCCCTACCATCATGGCGGGGGACCCTGGGCTTCAGTTTCCTTCTCTGTCACTTGAGGGTAACTACAGCACCCACATCATAGGGCTGCTGGGAAAACCAGTGGGGAGTGCAGGAAACATGCTTAGGATGGTGGGCATCGTGGTGCATTTCCTCCCAGCATGCTTTGGACATGGGACTATAAACTGGGGCCTACCTAGCTCCCCTGCCTGTAGCTCCCTGAAGGCAAGACTGGGTCACAGCCCTCTCCACATCTCCCGTGATCAGACAGGCCGGGCCCACACTAGCTCTTCTGGAAATATTTCAGATGAGCACAAGCGTGACCAGCTCCCAGTTCTGTTCCTGCAACACCACATGGAAGAGACCAAGTGTCATTCTGCAACAGTCAATGCCTCCTGGAGCCTGGACCATGTACTGGATTCTTCTCAAAGCTCTGCAAATATTGACTCATCTAGTCCTCCTGATAATCTTGAAGATAAACCCTAACAGTGTCCCTGTTTTACCCATGAGGAGACTGAGGCACCGAGAACAGGCTTAGGTCACGTAGCAAGCGTGAGAATGAAAAGAAGAGGTGACAGTGAGTCACACCTGGCAGGAAGGAATCAGGGGGTGCTCACGGCGTCCAGTGAGAGAATGCATGGGCCCCACCTCCTACTCTTGGGCTCACTCTCTGATATGGAAAGCCAGATGCTCAGGCCAGATGGGGTGTGAGAGGAGAAGGCAGCCCAGTCTCGCTCCTAGAGAAAGCCAAGGTTTTGGGCTTCGACAAAGCAGAGGGCTCTTGAGGAAGGATGGTTACATTCAGGGTGGGGTCTTGTTCCTGTGGGGTTGCTTAAGGCTATGTGAATGCTGGAGAGACTGTCCAGCCTCCATCTCCTTCCTGGAGATAGGGCCCTGGCTCAGCCTCCGGGATCTGGGGCCCAAACCTCCAGTCACCATGAGCTGTCCATTTGAGAAGGGCCAAGACCCACATCTCTTCCGCCACTCGCACACTCCGAGGTAGAAATAGATCCTTGGGGTCAAAGAGGAAGTGGTGGGGGCTCCATACTGGGGGTGCCTGAGGTTCCCAGAGGCAGCTGGCCCCTTTGCTCTGGGAAGCTGCTCCCAACCACAGGCTCCCAGAGGCCCTGTGCCACCACTACTGTTACTGCTTGAGAATGCCTAAGGGGGCCCTGCAGCACGTGCCCCTTAGCACCACCCATACATCATGCTCAAAAGGCCCCAAACTGACTTAGTGTCTCACCAAGTCTGACTCCCCACACCCTACCCAAGTGGCTGTCTCAAGGCCAGTTCACCCACTCCCAAATGTTTCTCAAATGCACTGCCCCCTGGGCCTCCCTGGTGGCACTAAAGGGGTTAAACACCGCACTATGAACCTGCAGCCTCTGCAGCATGAGTTCAATCCCTGCCAGCCAGGGAGCAAGCCACATGGCGCAGCAGACCTCTCCTGTCTCACCCGCTGCTCCCCTCAGCAGCGTATTTCAGTCAATCTGCCTGTTCTGTTCCCCACTCTGTCTCTGGTGAATCCTCTCACCCCCCACATCTCTGGCCTGTGCCCCGCTCTTGTATGCATAAATCAATAAATCTTTTAAAAAAATGCACTGTCCCCCACTTTCAGACCCAGCCCATCCTCTGGGCCAGCCATGCAACCTCCTCCAGCAGCCAGAGGCATCACTGTGAACCACACAGACAACTGTGTCTCCCTGCTCAACACTCTCCATGAAAACCAGAAACAACCAAAGTGTCCATCAGAGGGGACTGGACAGCTGAGGAAGACCCGTGCGGCAAGCAGGCAGCTGTGCAGCTGCTTAATGGAATGAGAGTCCAGTGGGGGCCACAAAGATGCTCACAAGCCACAGTTAAGTGGAAAGAAAAAGGCGGCCGTGTAGAATGTCCTCTGGGCCTCTGGGGGTCTCTGGAAATGGAGGTAATGACGTACCCCATGTCGGGGTGGGTGGGAGAGTAAATGAGACCAAGCAGCCACTGGCTCAGTGTGCTGCCTGGCACAGGGTGCTGGCGAACGGCGACTCCTGTGGAGGTGATCACACTAGCCACGGGCATGCGTGCATGTGAGTGTGTGTGTCTATGTGTGCATAGACATGTGCCCTAGTGAGCTGTACTGGTTTAAAGCTCTGGCAGAATTCCAATTCTTCAGCATGTTTCACCCAAAAAGGAAAATCCATTCTCTATACACTGTATCATTTCACATGAAATTACTTTGTCATGATTTTTTTTTTAAAAGATTTATTTATTTATACAAGAACTGGGATACAGGTCAGAGTTGCAGAAGGGTGAGAGAATTGACCAGAGAGAGTAGGGAGCAGAACAGGCAGATGGACCGAAGACAATGCTGAGGGGAGCAGCGGGCAACGCAAGAGAGGTCTGCCACGCCATGTGGGTTTCTCCCTGGCTGCAGAACCCGTGCTGCAGAAGCTGCGGACAGCATCACAGCTCAGCGCTCAACCTGCTGCGCCACCAGGGAGGCCCTCATGATTTTCTTTTTAAAGACACTTTAAAATAAGCATTCAAAAGCCTCCCAATATCCCCCTCTGGATGGGTCCACCTGGCTCTGCAGAGTGGGTGCTGACACCCTCACTCTTGACCACACTAGCGGAAGACACCACACCCTCTCTCATCTCCTGGCCTTGGCATAGGCTGTGCCCCAGTGCAGAAATGCTCACGACATCCAGAAGAGACTAGAATGGACTGCCATCCCATCTGACACACCTGCTCCCTCTTTCCTGACTCTGAAGAACATCACCTGTACCTCTTCGCATGGTGAAGGGAAGGGCTGGCTCTTAGGAGTTGAGAGTGAGGGCCACAGTCAAGCCTGGGTTCAAATTCAGGCTCCACTACCTACTGGCTAATTCTTCTTAGGCAAGTCATTTCACTTCAGTTTCTTTGTCTTTAAAATGGGTATAATAATAACCCTAACATTTGAGAGTTAAGTGAGAGAGTCCACGTGCCTGACACAGAGTAAGTGCACTATAAACCACACAACGTATTTGCTGCTGCTATTATCACTGCAAGGGGTAAGAGGAGCTATGCAAGGGGTGGCTGCAGTGAGGCGGCAGGGCCTTGAATGCTGAGCACAGAGTTGAGCACTTTACATGCAGCTGATAATCAACTGTTCTGACAGCACAGTGAAATCGGAACTATAACTGCACCCATTTTGCAGGAGGGACCAAGGTTCAGAGAAGCCAGAACCTTGCCTGGAGCCACACAGCTAGTGAATGCAGCAGAGCTGGGATGTTGGTAGTTCAAGAGAGTAGCATCAGCCGATGCCCCATCCACTGTGCTGAGGGCCCCACTGCCCTACCAGTCTTCCACCTCCCTGACACAGAAGGAATGCAGGGGTCACAGGTCAACCTCTGACATCACCATCCCTATCTCTAGAAACCACCAGAGAGGCAGATGCATCACAGAGGAGTCTAAAATACAGGTCCAGAGGGGCCTCCCTGGTGGCGCAAGGGGTTAAGATGCCGCAATATGAAGCTATCCACAGCCACTGCAGCAAGAATTCGATCCTCAGCCAGGGAGAGACCCACATGGCACAGCAGACCTCTCCTATCTCACCCACTGCTCCCCTCAGCAGTGTATTTCAGTCAGTCTGCCTGTTCTGTTCCCCACACTGTCTCTGGTGAATCCTCTCAACCCCCATACCTCTGGCCTGTACCCCAGTTCTTGTATGCATAAATAAATAAATCTTTAAAAATAAATAAATAAACATCATAAATAAGTTCAAAAAACAAATTATAAAAAAAAAATTGGTAAATCATATGATAGCATATTTTCTCTTAACATAGAATAAGCTTCCACATAACAGGGAAAATGTCCACAGATAGTTTATAGCAAGTCAAAAGGCTGTTAAATATATGATGCTCAACTTCACTTGTAAGATTAAAGCAATAAAATTACCCAGGTTATTCAACAATAGCAGATTATATGTTCTTTTCAAATATACAGAAAGCATTTTCCAGAACAGACCATATTCTAACCCTATAAAAAGCCTCAATAAATTTAAAAAGAGGGAAATCATACAGTGTATGTCTCCAACTACAACAGAATTAAGAAATCAATAACAAAAAGAAATCAAATGTGAAAATTAATACACTCCTTATAACCAAAAAAAGTAGAAAATGCTTTGAAATGAAAAGGAAGGCACAACATGTCAAAAAGAATAGAAAGCATGCAGTAAAGGAAAATTTGAAGGAAAATTTAGAGCTAAAATGTCTACATTAAAAAATCAGAAATATCCCTAGTCAATAATTTAATCTTCTACCTTAAAGACACTGGCAAAGAAGACCAAATTAAATTTAAAGCAAGTAAAAGGAAAATATAATCAAGATTGAAGCAGAAACTAATGAAACAATTTTTTTAAATAGAGAAAATCAATAAAACCACAAGTTGGCCCTTTGAAAGATCAACAAAACTGAAAATTCTTTAGCTAGCCTCAATAAGAAAAGAAGAAAGAAGACTCAAATTACTAAAATCAGGAATGAGAGGACATTACCAGCAACCTTACCAAAATAAGATGGTAAGATAATGCTATGCCAACACATCAGATAACTTAGATGAAACAAATTCCTAAAAAACACAAACTACCAAACTAAGAAGATATAGAAAATCTGAATAAAACTTAAACAAGTAAAAATTGAATTCTGAATTTTAAAATCTCTCACAAAGAAAAACCCAGGTCCAGATGGCTTCACTGGTGAATTCTACCAAACATTATAAGAAGTAATACCAATTCTTCACTAGGGAACATTTTCCAACTAATTCTATAAAGGCAGTATTACCTTAATACCACAAGAAAGACATCATAAGAAAAGAAAACTAGACTGATGATGTCTTATGACTATAAGATGTAAATATTTTCAACAAAATAACCAGCAAACTGGTTCCAGCAATTTATAAATAGAATTATACATCATGGCCAAGTGAGATTTAAAGGAAGAATGTAAGATTGGTTAAGCTTCTGAAAAATCAAGAAATGTAAAACACGCCACTCAGAGAATAAAGGACAAAAACAACGATCTCAATAGATGCAGAAAAAGAGATTTGACAAAACCCAATATATCCTCATGATAAAAACCCTTAACTAGGAATAGAAAGGAATTTCCTCAATCTGACAAAGGTCATTCACAAAAAACTTACATCTAACATCACATTTAATGATGAAATTCTCTATGCTTTCCCCCCTAAGATCAGGTACAAAGCAAAGATATTCACTCTTAGGACTTTTATCAACATTATACTAGAGGTTCCAGACAAGAAAATAAAGGAAGAAGATGAAATAAAAGATATCCAAATAGGAAAGAGGTGAAACTATCTCTATTTGCAGATGACATGCTCTTGTATATAGAAAATCCTAAGGGTTCCATTAAAAAATTATTAAAACTAATAAATTAATTCAGCAAGGCATAAGATCAACATATAAAAATAAATTCTGTTTCTATACAACAGCAATAAACAACCCAAAAATAAAATTAAGAAGACAATTTACAACAGCATCAAGAAAATATTTAGGAATAAGATTAAAAAGTACAAAACTTAGACTCTGAAAACTATAAAAACTGTTGAAAGAAACGAAAGATTTAAATAAATGGGAAGACAGCCTATGTTCATAGATTGGAAGACTAAACATTTTTAAGTTACTAAAACTCCCCCCCCCCAAACTCATCAACAGATTCAACACAATCCCTATCAAAATCAAAATTTTATAAAAATTGACCAAACGATCCTAATATGCATATGGGAAGTCAAAGTACTCAGAATAACCAAAGCAATCTTGAAAAAGAAAAACAAAATTTGAGGGCTCACAGTAATTAATTTTGAAACTTACCCATAATCAAGAAAGTGTGGTACAGATGAGGGC